GAGGAGGTAGTGAGGCGGAGTGAGAGGATGCGCTCGGTTCCCTGAGAAGGAGGTTCGACTGATGACAGGAGGGAGTTACGGACTGCGAAGCCAACCCCGTAGAGTCGGCGCTCGTCTGACTCCAGGCCTTGCCAGAAGAACTTGTAGTCCTTCTCCTGAAGACTGCCACTGGAAGCGAGGCGTGTCTCCTGGAGGGCGGTGATGTCGATGTTCCGCTTAGCCAGCTCACGATCGATGATGGCGGTTTTCCTGGCATCGTCAACTTGTTGGAGGTCGTCAGAGAGGCCAGGGCACATTGTTCTAATGTTCCAGGTTGCCAGCCTCAGGGCTGGTGATTTCTTTTTCTTTTGGTGTTTGCCTGGTGCTTAATTTTACAACAAGCCTGTCGATTTTGTCTAAGCTTCATGCACCCAATGAAGCAAGCAAGTTGTGGTGGGGTAGTACCCTACTGCCCGGGGACTGCCCGGGTTTAGGCGGGCGGTAACTTCCCATTGGAGTCAGAGGACTCCTCCCACCGTCAAGAGCAACCCCTAGCGCCCGGCTCTACGCCAAACAAGCCTGGGCTTATCACTGGTGACTGCTGCTCTCCATGTTGAGTCTTCGCTGAGACAGCGAAGCTGGAGTGACCTCTCCAGGTGCAGGCCTGGGCAAGTGGTATGGAGATCCTGGAGTGCCCAGTGCCAGGATCACCCTCTCGACATTGCTGGTAGAATCCGGCGGAAAGGCAAGCCGATACAGCCGGTACCAGCGCAGCTGCAGGAGGTGCCAGAAGGGATCGCAAAACTCGTCCAACTGCCTACGGGTCTCCGTACCGGATTTTTCTTCTGGGTTTACTCCCATAGCCTTTGACCAACCAAGGCCGACCTGCAAGACAGCAGGAAACTCGTGGAGGGCGGGGTCGTTCATTTCCGGTACAGATGCGTAGCATAATGAAGCATCTGCCCACTGCCCATATGGTATTAGGAACTATCAAATCCCCAGCTTAATGACTTTGAGGCAAGCTTCCTGCCTAAAGCATTCTGAAGTATAATTTTGGTATTTGCAGTTAATCCCCATGTGCTTTGCCCCATAAAGGAGCTCACGCAGGTTCCACCAAGATCTGAACTCGGATCGCTCAGACTCCATAGCACTAACCACAATGCCACGGAACAGCTAGCACCAAGCGGCATCGACGCCGGAAAACGCTGACTATCCTGATGAAAATACGGAGCGTGGATCAATACATTTGGTGGCAAATACAATAAATAAGACTTATGGCAAAAGAAAAAGAGCAAACGTCTCTCATTATGTCAGTAGACGTTTTAAAAAGTTTATTAGGGGCCAAGCACCGAAGGGGCCTAGGTACCCTATTGTTATTATATGTTTCTTCTTCTTCTGGCTAGGGTGTCTATGTGAGCCCATAGAACCATCTGGTAAAAAGCTGTGAAATTTGGCACACTGATTGGGGAGGGTCTAAGGAACAGTTTGACCAAACTTGGGACAAGTGTTGCCAACGTTCTAGCTCCACCATCGGGTCAAATTTGGGCCTAATTTAGAAGGATATTTATGATCATAACTTTTGAACCATGGGGCCACCATGTAAATGCCAAGCACCTGGATTCTGTGGGTCAAGAGAAGTTCAGTGCACCCAGTGAAAGCATATGGTATTAGGAACTATCAATTCCCCAGACATGTGGCTAATACCTTTATCCGAAGGACTATGAGGCACGCGTCGTGGCTAAAGCATTCTCAGGCATGAATTTGGCTCTTTGGCGTTTGGATCGTCCATGATGAAAGACACACAGGTTCCACCAAGATTTGAACTCGGATCACTGGATTCAGAGTTCAGAGTGCGAGTGCCAACCATTACACCATGGAACCACTGTAGTTCGGAGCGCCAACGTCATCAACCCCAGAAAACTTGGACTATCCAGATGAAAATACGGAGCATGCATCAGTACAATTGGAGGGAAGTACAATAAATAAGACTTGTGGTAAAAGCAAACGCACGTCTGGTCTGACTCAAGCCTAGCGGCACCGGCACAGCAGTTGTTACTCAATGATTGTCATTAAGCTCCAAGCAGAGTTCTAATCTGAACCTAAAGCTGTAAAGGTGGGTAACACCTCCCCGCCGTTCTCATGTCTTTAGAGTGAGAGTAGCTGAAAAGCATGTTAAACGAACATTTGGACAACGCTGAGTACAGGGTTAAGAATATTTCCCTTCCCTTCAAGCATCTGTAACAGAAATGGCAACAATACTCAAGAGGAACAAGTGACCTTTCAGAAAATACACTGTAAAGTTCTGGACTCTCTCACAAATCCCTTAGATGAGGTTTCACTCTTTTGCAAGCTGCAAAGATGCACTATTGACTTTAACAAGAGGTATTTTTAACTGCGGTGTAGCTTCTTTCAGATCCATTGGGAGGACAAAACCTAGAAAATGTTTGGTTATAGTAGTGCTACCAAGACACTGTTCCACATATCTTTTCTTTTGGATACCAGGATCATTATGGGTAACCTATGCCCTTAATATTCTTACCTGTGTACATCTATACAGCATGATAAATTAACTGAATTAGTCCACAGTTGTTGGACCCCTTTGACTTCCATAGTATTTTTTTTTCCTACTATGGAAGTCAATGGGGTCCAAAAACTGTTTGGATACCAGCATTCTTCAAAATATCTTCCTTTGTGTTCAACAGAACAAAGAAACTCATACAGGTTTGGAACAGCTTGAGGGTGAGTAAATGACAGAATTTTCATTTTTAGGTGAACTGACCCTTTAACATAACTTAGTTTATGAACAACCTAATGATCATTCGAGAATGAATGAATCTGCTCATCTGCACAAGAACAATACATTAGTGACCGAGAAGCTGCTGAAGTTGTAATCTCCAGTTTTAAACTATATTTGATTCGTGGGTCATGACTCTTTGATTCAGCGAGACTGTCTGACAGGTGGGCCTTTTTATCAATTTGTTTAGGTGTTATTTTCTCCTGCCATTTACTAGACGTGTACTATTTGCCATTGTGATTCTGAACATTTCTCAGTCTGCAGTCATGCCAGATGACAGACTGTCACAACAGGAGAACAGAGGAAACCTGGACATTCAACAGTTGTGAACTTTAATATGAGTGGGCTGCCTTATTTCTCTCAAGTATTCGGATGATGTCATGTGTATGAAAATTTAACGCACTGTAAAAATCCAAATAAATAAATAAACAGATGTCTTTGTCAGTTATTGTTGTGTGCTTGTGTGCTAAAGCCACGCATCATTTATAATGCGTTCAAATCCTCATCATTCAAGCATCAGTTTAAACACTGACACATTTTGTTTCTCTTCTTTATTTCTAAGTGCTGTTTCACCCCACTTTTTGCAGAACTACAAACTTTTCAAGGTGCTTTTGGTCCCTTTGGACAAAGTTTGTTGTATTTTTGATCACAGAGATTAGAGGTTTGATTGATTCTGTCTACCTTCACCAATAAAGTGGACATATTTCCCAGAGCTACATTCAGACAAAAAAAATTAAATTGAAAAACTGAGATGGGAGCCATCAGAAGTTTTTATGGTGTCTGAACAGCAGATTGATTACAGGTTTGGAGGTTTGTGGGAAACAGTGGTTCTCAGAGAGCACACGTGAAAACACTGACTGTAGTCTTTCATACTGTAATTATAAAACACATGTGTCCCCACATACATCCTCCCCCTCCTGTCCTTTTCTTTAACTGAAGAAGAAACCATTGTCCAATTTGTCATGCCCACCAAAACATTTCATAAATTGTAGGGAAGAAATATTTTTATAATTTTCCTTTCAGAGACTACACATAATACAAATCCACTGTCCATCTTTTGGTATAAGAAAAAGATATCTCAAGTGTAATACTGTAGTACCATTTAAATATTTATATTAAGAAAGACCTGATCATAATTTTAGATTCAATACAAAAGTCTGAATGTTATTGCTCCCTTAACAGGATATTATTAACCTACTGTATCTCACATAAGTGTTGATTATATATTAAATCATTAATATTTAATGCAGTGTAGTTTTTATCTTTATATGATACTGTCAGGAACAGTATGTGTTTAAAGTAAAATCATTTTTACTAAAATATATTCATCAACTGAAGTCAAGAACAGTCTAGACACTTTAGTTCATTACATATTTTAAATATTCAATACTTTAGTTAAGTCATACAGTTTTTATTTCATAGCTAGTGTTACAACTGCCCCTGACCTTATAGCTAAGATAAGATTAAGTCTTTTATTGCTCTGGGTGGCAGTTTGAGTATGTGACGCTTATATTAACTCTTAAATGGTTTCTGTGTCCTGGGGGTTAAAGATATTTGAGCGGCTGAAGGGAGGAACAATGAGTGACTGGGCCTAATATCTATGTAAAATATTAAAAAGGGTCCCTGAGGCAGGTCAAGTGACTTAGTAGCCTATAAAAACTATGTAGATGGGACTTTAAGGTAAATGTTGAAACCTACATGTTATTCATATTCATTCATTTGTCATAGGTTTCAATGCAGAGCAATTTATATTCCATCCAAGGGTCACATATTATCACTTCACGCATCCCTTGTGAATCAAACCTGCCTTAGTGCTGCAAATACTAAGGTTTACTGTTTGAGCGACATGGGAAATACAAAGTTATAGAAAAAACAATATTTGATGTGTGTTACAAAATACACTCAGAAAAAATGTGCAAAAATTGTACCTTTAGGGGCACAACAGCTTGTCACTGGGGCACTTGCCTTAAAGGGATAGTTCACCCAAAAATGCAAATTACCCCATGATTTACCCTCAAGCCATCCTAGGTGCAACTGGAGTTATATTAAAATTTATCCTGGCTCTTCCAAGCTTTATAATGGCAGTGAATGGGGTATGAGATTTTGAAGCTCAAAAAAGTCCAACCATCCATCATAAAACTGCTCCACACGGCTCCGGGGGGTTAATAAAGGTCTTCTGAAGCGAGTCGATGGGAAAATATCCATATTTAAAACTTTATAAAGCAAAACATCCAGCTTGCGGTGGACTGCGACCTACGAAGAATGCGTAACGCCTCTAGCAGTTCAAAACACGACGCGACGTATGACGTAGGATGTAACGTAAGTGTTTTGAACTGCGAGAGGCTTTACGCATTCTTCGTAGGTTGCGGTCCGCCGGAAGCTGGATGTTTTGCTTTATAATGTTTTAAATATGGATATTTTTCTTACAGTTGTTACAGTTTCTTGCAGTTTTATGATGGATGGATGGACTTTTTTGAGCTTCAAAATCTCACCCCCCGTTCACTGCCATTATAAAGCTTGGAAGAGCCAGGATAAATTTTAATATAACTCCGATTGTGTTCCTCTGAAAGAAGAAAGTCATATACACCTAGGATGGCTTGAGGGTGAGTAAATCATGGGGTAATTTTCATTTTTTGGGTGAACTATTCCTTTAAAAGGACATCTTTGTACCTTTTTACCCCTAAAAGATGCATATTAGTACCTTATAGCGGGGGTTTTCAAATCGGGGGCCACAAAGGAGTGACAGGGGTCTGTAGAAAAGTCTAGAGAAAAAAATGAATAGAAAAAGAAAATAGGAAAATAAATCAATCAGATTAAGTAAATGTGGACGGCTAGAGAAAAACCGTAAAAATGTAATAAGTAAATAAATAATATTAAAATAAGTATATAAATTAGATAAAATAAGTGTGGAAACGTCTAGAGAAAAAAACTATAAAATATGTAAAACAAATATACAATATTAAAATAAGTAAATAAATAAACTTGATTAAATTAACGTGGAAAAGTCTAGAGGAAAAAAATGGAAAAAAGTACATAAATAAATTAGATTAAAATTATAAAATAAAATGAAATTTATTTTTTCATTTATTATTATTATTATTGTATAATTATATTATAAAATTATTATAAAAATAATTTATTTATATTATTTATATATTATATATATAATATATAAATAATATAAATATATATATAAGTTATTAATCTGTTAAATAATTAAATAATTTGAATAAAGGTGCAAAGATTATTAAATTATAAGATTAAAATAAATAAATAAATAAATTTGATTAGATTAGCTGAATAAAACCGTGATTAAAATAAAAATATTAGTTATTAACATATTAAATTAACATGATTATTATAAATAAATAAAAATAAAATTAAATAAATAACTTATACATTACTGTAATGAGTAGAAAAAAATATAATGTAATTTAATAGAAACTAATTTTAGATTTTGGGTGTTTATAAAAGATAGATGCCTTTAAAATTTTAAAATGGGGGTCCCTCCCACAAAGATGGGGGTCCGTGGCATCTAAAAGCACTGCATTATAATAGCAATAAGAACCTTTAAAAAAAAAAAAAAAAAGTAAATAAGGTACAAAGATTTCCTTTTAAGGGTACTGCCCCGTGACAAGCCGTTGTACCCCTAAAGGTACAAATTTTGCACTTTATTTCTGAGAGTGTGAAAATAATTTTGCATTGTACCTATAAACAAGAAAAATGCTGGATATCCGTTTAAAAATACACATATAGATTATTTTTTTGTTCACAAAAAGATAGAGATAGTTTTACTGATGATACTGAAGAAATGAATAGAGTTTGTACCCATACGTGATTATCACAACTGACAGTGACAGTCAAATCCTGTGAGAATATCACCTGGGAGCGTGGGAATGAAACTCTCCGTCCAATAGAACGAGGCTGTGGGCGTGTCCCCCTGCTGCCATCCGTGCACAAGTTAAAGCTGAGCTCGCTCTGAGTCCGTGGGAATGCCGCGCGAGCATCCTGGCGCGCGTGTGGGATTTCTCAACTTTCAGTATTTGTCTCCTCTTTCCTCTTCCAGCGGAAACCCCAGCCGAGCTCT